TTTTTTTTTCGGTAGTAAATATTTTTGAAAAATAATTTGTTGATTAAGATTATTATATGATAATTAATTATAGGTGAAGAAAATCTCGAGGTTATTGAACCCGGGATCGAGGATTAGAGCGAATCTTTCGGAGTTCATCGTTTAGACCAAGGTGAGGGAACTCGACAGAACTCCTCTTTCTTCTATTCGCTTAGACATGATGATAGTGAACGTAGATATCATGCGGTTAGGATTTTAGGATAGACGCCTTAAATTTTCTTGTGAATTTATGATGCATGTTGATTGTTGATTGATGACTGGTGATTGATGATTGATGACGATTGATGATTGATGATAATGAATGATGATTGATGATTGATAAATTTCTGTTGAATGATTATGGTTTGTGACGTACATGTTATGTGATGACGTTTCTTAATGGATTTATTGGATCGTTAGAATGAGTTGAACAGTGGATACTAATTAAATTTTGGCATGATGTTGCCGGGCATGGCGGCGATCCATGTGGAGTGGTAACCCCGACTACGGCGGCGATCCGTAGAGGGTTATTACTATTGGTCGTGTTTTAGTAACCCCGACTACGGCGGCGATCCGTAGAGGGTTACAAAGATATTTTTGGTTTTGTTTTATAAAAGAGTTTTGAGCTACGTCTGAGGAATACTGAATGGTCCTAGAGTCTGAACTCGTTTTAAATAATTGAATAAAGAAAAGATAAGAGAAAAGTTGAAGAAAAATGAGTTTGCTTGAGTTGAATGTTGATTGTATTTGTTTTCTATTTGATTGTCTATGTTGGGTACGGAGGCGAGGTTTATAGTCTTGCGACTTTACTGAGCTATTCGCGTAGCTCATCCCTTCCTTTTTTCCCACAGGTGAAAGCTGAAACAGATTGTTTTGGTTGGACTCGATAGTTGCTAGAAACACGAAGAATTTGATTTTCTATTTTTACGAGTTTAGAATTTTAGACTTATGTTATTTTAGACTTCCGCTGTAGACATGTGATTTTGATGGTTGATTTTAGAGTAAATCGTATTTTTTTTTATAACCCAAGTGACGATTCATCAATATCCGAAATACCAGATTTTGGTTCGTTACATTTTGGGATTTATGGCATGAGATCGATTTAATGGGAGATAAGAACAAAGAAGAATACACCAATTCAAACTTGGTGTACAACAAGGATCTCCATATATTAAAAAAACAAAAGAAGAGGAAAGTTATTCCATCCGATGAGTTGGATGAATTTGTCGGTGGGTAAATCCCATTGTTAGCTGTTTCAATGCATCTATGCAAGATTATATTCACCAGTATAGTTTTATTTTCTTATTTTTTTAGCAGACATTATTTACAGTTCTCTCTCCTCTCTACTCAATGTCAATAATATATATGTGGGTGTATGTATGTATATATATGTTCTGATAGGTAAAAAAGTTTGTATTATATATACATATATATGTATGTATAGTCTTAAAATAGAAGAAGCGAAGCATGGGAGGCATTGCTCCACACAAACCCAGTTTCGAACGCGAATAGACAACCATCCGCATAAAGCTAAGCATCCCTTGTCGAAGTAGCGATGTAAGTTCATCTCACCTGGAGGACAAATATTTTTTCAATTCTAGGAATTTTTAGCTAATTGAACGTTAATACGTTCATGAACTAGGGCAATACCTTTTTGGGAATTTTGAGAATTTTGCCAATTGCCGTGGGATTATTTCCATTTTGTATCAGCGCTAGCTGATTGTAAATTATAGTTTTATTAATACAATTCACATTTCATAAAAAAAAAAAAAATCAGATATGAGGTATGGTAAGATGTCTTAATTATTATGGGTTTTATATCTAAAAAATGTGGCAAAATATATGGGTATCTCTCTCTTTTGATCGTTCCTCTTTTTTTTTTTTTTAATTCCAAATTTATTGGTTTTTTGTTATGATTGTTCTTCGAGACTAGATCCAATAAATTTTAATCGGATTCAAATAATTTTAATGTGGTATTTCAATAAATTTTAGATGCACACAACAACCATTTGCAAAACTTTAAATTTAAGGACTTTTCAAATTAAGAAGATTTGTTTTTATGTCGTCTTTGAACACTTCAATTTATTTGAAACAGGTTTGATACAGTTAAGTTTAAACATTTTCTATCTTCGTTCAATTTTGTAATGTGTAGTATTTTGTTATTTTTGTTTTCGAATCGTTAATTCCTTATTAGATCTTTTATGAATCTTTCATATTTAATATTTAATCTAAGACTCTTCATATTTAATCTAATGTTCTTGGGAAATGTTTACGTAAAATGCCTCTTGGTTCATGTTTCTTTTTTTAAATATATTGGAGTTGAATATATGAAATATTACAAACATGATACAATTTAATCAAAATGAACCAAACGACCAAACATATCAACTCCGAATCTACTTTGAAATTTTAACAACTTTGAGATACGGTCTTCTTGAACATCAAGAAAATGTCACCGTTTTCTATACACCGTTATTTTGGTTTTTCATCAAACTTACGCGTTTAACGGGTAGCTTAATTTTGTATGTTTCGAATTCAATTGTTTCTGACTAATATTATTGTAAATTTCTAGAATCACCATTTAATAGAAAACCCACAATAAATTTTAATTAGGGGCATGAAGATATTATAATGTATATATACCTAAGAAAAAAGAAAACGTCATGAAAAATATAATGTACAAGATATTTTTTTTACAGCACCGGGTATACGACCCCACTGCTATAACATGGGTTTGTCAATGTCACCAAACAATTTTATTTCTATTTATATTTATTTATTTTTCTTAAAAAATATGTTTAAAATAATTTTAAAAAATCTTATCCAATTTTAGTATATATCAAAATTTAATAAAATTAATATTAGAAGATCATGCATATTTAATTTTTGTACAAAATAAAATCAAAATCAATAAATAGATAAACTTAGGCCAATAGATCTATATTCTTAAAAAAATAGGAGTAATGACTACACGACTTTTAAAAGATGTTAAATCTGAAAATTTACTTATTAATATATCATATACATATACATCATATAGAAATGTATATATGACACTAAACTATTGCAACATTTCAACAAAACAAAGGAATTCAATCGATATTTTATACATTATAATATTTGTTATATATACTTAATATTATGTTAACATTTTTCTTTAAAATAATGAAAAAAAATTTGTTGTCATTGAATAGATAAAATTTATCATGACATAATTCTGATATTCAATATTTCAATTATTTGTTCTATATTATAACACATAAAATTTAAACATATAAAATATAAAATACCCAAAATATTAAACCGAAAATTCACTGGATCTGAAATAGATCTAACAAAAACCAAAAAAACTATTAAGATTTTGATGAAAAATAATATAAATAGTTAATTTGATCGAGTAGGTGTATCCTATGTATCATTAAGTTTTTGTTTTGAAAATCTTCCATAGAATTGTTGGATTGAGTTATGAAATGTATACTGCAAATAAAAAATCCGTTGGATTAAATCATATCAGAGTTTTGTTTAACCAATATTATTATAATAAAATATAAATAACATACAAATATGACATAATCTTAGTTTTAATTTTTAAGATAAAAGTGACTAAATATTAGTTTATAAACAATATCATGACTTGGTTTTAATTAGCATCAATCCTTAGTTCAATATTATAATCCATAAAATATAAATACATAAATTGTTAACAAGCTTTTTGGAAAAAAAAAAAAGATATTATTGCATTATCTCAACACTTTAAAAAAAATATTTTGTTATTATAATATAAAAATTTATAAATTTTAAAATAAAATTTATTATATTTTATTTTAAAACTAATAAAATTTATATATATATATTTAGCCGCGCGTTTCGCGCTGGGGTTTATAACTAGTATATATAAAAAAAGAAGATATATATTTCTCATCGCAAATTACTCTAAACCCAATTATTTATACAGACAATATATATATATATATATCTCACACCGCTATACACTTAAAAGATATAACTATTTATTTTATGAATAAATATACACATATAGCATTAGTTCTAATTAAATCTTGGCTACCACTACTGACTCAAAATTAATTATAAATAGCCAATTATCCACAATTCATTTTAGGCCAATAAAATAGAAGAATCGGACGAATATTAATTACAAAATAGAACAATGAAATTTCAATTAAACAAAAAAACTGTGATCTTATGCGATATCATCACTATAAAAGTTTCAATAATTTTTTCGAAATCGGGGTTAAAAAACGAAATTATGATTTTTTTTAAATTTTAATTTCGGGCCCATTTAGCAAAGAAACACTATTGAAATATGTGTAAACAAACAGTTTGTTTGAAAAGGAAATCAATAAACACAAAAAATGTTTCCACATTTTCTCTTTTAATATATTTTTCATCTATAATTTTCTCTGGTTCCAAAATATATTGTGGGCGAGATTTAATAACTATTTCACTGTATATCTAAAAATTATTTTTTTTTGTCTTTCAATGTCTTATAAATGTTAAGAACGTATGATATATATATCGGTTTGGAATTTCCTTTAAAATTTAGAGCTGGGTGTTATAAAAAATATACTGATGTGTATGATGGGACCCATCTGAAAACATTATTATCAGATATATCACATGCTTTTTTAATTGAAGTCACTTGATTGATCCTCTTCTTTCAGCGTATAAAATTCTCACTATTTTAGTCAACATGAAAACCAATATTTTCATGGCAAAAAATAAAATTGAGAATACTCTTCGTCAGCCAGAGGGTTTACCTTGGAAAATACGACGTCGTTTAGTAAGCTGTGTCTCGTCAACCGCGACAAATAGAAGTCGAAGAACAGGTCGTCGTCCGTCAGAGATACAGCCGCACGTTGTTCGAATCGAACCCAAAAGGACGAAAGCGAGTGGCGAGAAATTCGTCGTTTCTCCTGAGAGATCGATCAGATTTAGAGAAGTGATCTCCATTGTTGAAACGAAAAGCTTCGCCTTTTCAAAGCCCGAGAGCGATTTAGATGGTGTGGTTGACGAATCAACAGATCAGTAGATGGAGGAGAAAACGAGTTCTGGTCGGATCGTTTCTGTGTTGGCTCTTCGTCATGTTCATCACTCCCAAAGTTCCTCTTTCTTCCCCCAGTCATCATGTCTTCGCCGATAAGCGCAATTTCCTTGGTATCACGGACACGCACTCTGTATATATAATATATCTGTGCTTTGTCTTCGATTGATGCGGTTTTTCTCATCTGGGCACTTGAAATTTTTATGCTTTTTGTATGAACATCTGTTTGTATGGCAACTGGTGTCGTTTGTTTCTGTCGGGTTTTTGACAGAATGCTCAAGTTTATGGTCACCCCTAATTCCCGCGCGGACTCTCTCTCGCACTCTCTCTCTGCTTCTTCCATTACCTCTCCATGTGTGTGTATGTATGTATGTGTTGTCGATTTGTGTATTTTTCTGCATCTGGGGATTGGATTTTATTAGCGATTGTTGAGGCTTTCTTCATCTGTCATCTGACGACTGAGCATAATGCTGTTGTTACTGTCGTTGATTGTCTAAAAATCTCTATCTCTGCATGTGTGTTTGGATATATATATATATACATATATATATATATATATATATAAATGACATGTTCTTTCTGTTTGTTTTGTTAATCAATAGGAGTGCCTAATACTTTGAATGTGATGACCAATTTCCCCTTCCTAATTGTTGGTGTTCTTGGTTTTGTTCTGTGCATTGGAGGAGGCTTCTTCACCATAAGGTTCTTCTTCTTCTTCCCTTTTGATAGATTGAATTTTGTCATTTGTTTGTTTAGTATTATTGCTTTGTTGTGGCTTATGCTGGATTTTTTTTCCTACAATGCAGCTTGAAAGGGGAAATATGGGGATGGGTGCTGTTCTATGCTGGTGTTGCAGGCTTGGCTTTTGGGTCTGCTTATTATCATCTAAAATCTGATGATAATAGAATCATCTGGGACACTTTGCCGGTTCGTGTTGTTTCTATCTTATAATCCATTCCCAGTGTTCATCAGTTTGTTTTCTTGGATATTTTCTGCAAGAATATTAGTCAAGTCTTCTTGCCTGCTAAGTTTCAGTTTTAACTCTAGAAGAGTGTGGAATAGGATACCTGTTTTCAAGCTCTGGGTTTTCTGTTTCGGATCCCCTTTTCCGCTTTTGTTGTTTTTTGTTTTCGCCGTTTCTTGATTTACGATGGTAATTGCAGATTTTGATTGCGTATTCCTCGCTTTTCTCTAGTTTTTTGGTTGAGAGAGCGGGGGAAAGAGCTGGATTATGCTGTCTGGTCTCCCTTCTGTTCATAGCCTTTCTCAGCATTGCTTATGCAGGGTACGTTTTGGATAACTATATCATACGCTATACCTTTATCTTCAACCGAATTCTTGTTTTTTCTCCTTCCCTGGATGAATTATGCTTCTCTAGTTGGTGGCAGAGTGTTTAATGATCTCCGGTTGTGCATGACGTTCCAGTTGATCCCTTTCGTGGCGATTCCTGTCCTGACCATTTTGTTACCGCCCAAGTATACCCACTCCAAGTATTGGCTCTGGGCTTCAGGTTCGTTATATCACTCGATTTTCTTTTTGTTTCGGCGCAATAAGTATGATGTTAGGTTGAAAGAGTACAAAGGCACTCATGTTTTAACTCAGATTCAATCTCATCGGAATACCCATCCAAAACTTCATGGCTCGAAATCTACTGGCTTTCATGTGAATTGAAAACTTGTTCTGGGCATGTTTCGATAAGCCTGTATATGTGCGAACACATCGGAAAGTTGGGAACTTCGGGTTCGGGTTTCAGTTATGAACGGGCAAAAAACCACTGGAACTTAGCTAAGCCTTGAATGGAGCTAAAACCGAACCAAAAGATGGACACCTGAGGATTCTATTACATTTTAGAGAAATTCCTTTTTGGAACTTTGGTTCACAGTTTTTGGAAAAAACGTGCCAAAGTTCAAAACTTGCGATATGGGTTTCGAATATTGTAGTGTAAAAATCAGAAATTCCGAGAATTTTTTTTCAGTTAGTATTTTATCGTTTTTGTTAAATGAGGTTCTTTTTTTTCTGCTCAACAAAGTGATAACGCTTAGAAGCTCGGTTCTGATTTTGATGCAGGAGCTTATATTCTATCCGGAATAGAAAATCTCGCAGACTCCAAGATTTACAACGCGAACCGTTACCTAATCAGCGGGCACTCTTTGGGGCATCTGTGCTCGGCCGCGGCCCCAATTCTACTCACCATTATGCTTTTGTATAGAAGCATTCGGTTTCACAGGTACCCTTTTACTTTCTCCTGTTCTTTCGACAACAAATTCTTTGAATCAAGATTTGCCAGATTTCGATCTTCAAATGTTTTTTTTTGGTTCTTGTTTCGTTTGGTCTGATAAAACGAACAGATTAGGCGATCTCAAAGGGCATCCTTGACGACGGGAAACACACCGCTGAGTTCTTCCTGGCTCTGAACTTTTCAACTCAGGTCCAAGGTGTTTTTTTTTTTTCTGTCCGGAGTTCGGGAAGGGAAGAACCATTTTTTTTTTCCTTCGAGTTTCTGTTAATGATGATTTTTTTTTTGTTCGGATTCTTTTGTTTTGAAGATTTTGTGATGGAAACTTTAAGTTCTGATTATGCTTGTGGATATTTTTTTTCTTCTTCGGAGCAAATCTTGCGTTCTTGATTTGATTAGGGAGTTGGCATCTAAAATTAGGTGTTCGTCTGCTCACACGATTAGTTTGGCTCGATCGAGGGCGAGACGACGAGAACCTGTATCCATGGATCACGGGTATCTATTGCCAAAGTTCGGGTGTCACACGATGAGAAACTATATCCACAAACCGCGGGTACCCGTCGCCAGAGTCGTCTGGGTTAAGGTTATTGGTTTTGGCCACTCCGATGTCAAGCATCGTCACCTCCGATATCTCGCTGCTCGCCTTCCTCCATTTTTGTCGGCTACGTCTCTCCGCCCCCTCGTCTCATCCTCGCCTCTCTTTTCTTCTGCTCCTCACCTTGTCTTACCTTTCTCAGTTTGACAACTTACTGACCGGATCCTTGGCAGTATTCGAACATTTCAAAACACTGTACGGATACCCGAATATTTGAAACAGTTTGGGAACCTTCTGACGTACCGACAGGTGTTTGGGAGGACCGGACTAGTAACTAGGGATGATTGATTTGGTTCATAAACGAAATAACCGAACCCGAATAAGCAACCCGACTAGTAACCAATGTGAGTTTCCATTGGTGGTTATAATCATTCCACCCATGAATCTTCAGACTGTCCTGTCCTCGAAGTGAAATGTATTGTAATTTGGATTAAACAGTTCAGCTATCACTTCATGTTCTACCGACATGACAGCACAGATACAACGATGGGGTAAATTTATTGGAATTCCCAAACAACGACAACAACATGCCTCTGAATTTGCAAAATCTCTAGTCTGATAAAAAAGACAAAGCGAAACTCTTTTTTTAGCTCAAAGACCTTCAAAGAAACGCAAATGATCGTCGAATGTCTCTCCATGCCTGATCTTGGCGATCGATCCATCTTCTTCAACCTGCAAACACAATGCCCAACATAAAAAAAATGTAACTACTGAACAAGTCTTCGAAAAAAGTTTTTCGCCTTCTTCTCCATAGCTCAAAGAATCCAGAGAAATATAATTTTCGATACCCAGTATTCAGGAGGGCGCATTTTGAGATTGTAGGTCGAAGCCATGCTCATACAGTACGCACCCGCATCGTGGACCACCAGACCTGCGCCCTGCGATGATCACAAGAAGATCGTTTCATCAAGAAATCTTATACTATCCGGGTTTCTAGAGGGAAAAAATGGGATCGAAGAGCATGTATTTTCCGAGTGCTATGCTGTTAAATGTGCCGAAAGATCTCACCTTTGGAGGGGTAGGAAGCTCTCTGTCTTTCCCCAAGAAATCGGCAGACTCGCACACGGGACCCACGATATCGAACGTGGACACCTCGGACAACTCGGGTGGTGGCGGAGAGACCAATTCAATGTGCTTGTAAAAAAAGAACAAGGGTCAGATTATCTGAGGTTACTAACTAAATTGGGTTCTGGTTTGAATAATTGGGTCCAAAATAAGGTATTACCGTGGATATCGGAATGAACAGTAAAATGACATTTTAGCCCAAGTTTTAGAGTACAAAATACAAATCTATTGAAATCTTTTCAAAGTTGAAATACCCGACACGAGTCAACCCATAAATTCAACCAGCCTTCGGATACCGACCAAAACGGATCCGATATTGTGTAATATCTCGTGAGACCTAAGACATTCGGATAGCCCAAAGATTTCGGATACCGACCCTTGCGCACCCCTAGCAACCAGCATATGTTATGTGAATGTTCTTTACCTGGTAGGCACCGTATAGGCTTGGCCGGATAAGTTCAGCCATACTTCCATCGACCACTATGAAGTTTTTAGTTCCATTTGTTTTCACACCGGTAACGTGGTTGACGAAACAGCAAGTGTTTGCGATTAGTGATCTCCCTGGCTCGATTATTAGATTCAAGTCCCGGGAAAGGACCAGTTCTCTCACCTGAAAATACAATGGACAACAACAATAGATAATGCCGGCTTCAAGCCGTTTCAACGTCATGTGCAGTGAGCAAAGACGAGAGAATGGCTTTTCGAGATATCGTTCTTACAGTGTCAATGAGATCCCTTGGTGAGGGAAGGATGGCACCAGTGTGGTAATAATCTATCCCTAAACCACCACCAATGTTCAAGTAATTAACTTCAAAGCCTTGAGCTCGAATTTCATCGATATATTTCACCATAAGAACAGCAGCATCTCTGAATATATCCACCTTGAAAAAGAGCCCGGAATCCAGAACTTAGAAAGGGAGCAAAAGAACACATGGGAAACATGAATAGAGGAAAACCATCCATAGTCATACTATGAATCTTGGATATTAAACTAAAAACGGATATGAACCACGGATCATATGTGAATCCAAGAATTCGGGCAATGTAACTTCACTAGAATCGAAGTGGCGGAGGAGGTACCTTTGTAATGGTAGATCCAAGATGACAATGTGCTCCGACAAGCTTCAGCTCCTCGGGATGCGCTTTCACCTCGTCCAGAAACCACTGGAGCTTCTCATTCCTAATACCAAACTTCGAGTTCTTGTTCCCTGTAGCCACATATGGATGCACCTGCAAATGTAATAAATGCAAAAGATACTGATATTGTTCATATTTTGTTCCTAATCGACGGTAAAATTATGAGCAAAACATCGATCAGGAGCCATAATACTTGATAACAGCAATATCACAATATGGGAAAAAAACAGGGAAGCGATTCTAAGAACTGAGACTTCAGCCATACCTGAGGGTCGACATCAGGATTGATTCGAAGCAGAACATTGACCTTCTTTCCGGAAATTCTCGAAGCTTGCACGATGTTCTCCAAGTCAAACTCACTATCAACATTTACGAAAACACCTTCTTGAGCAGCTAGAACCAAATCCTCCAAGAGCTTGCCATTTCCGTTGAAAATGCACCTAATTCGCACAAACAAAGAAAAAGACAAGCTTAACCCACTGGATCTGCTAGTTTCAGATAGCAGAAAGAACACACAGGTAATGCTCAAACCACAATTGGCACTTGGAAACAACAATCATTGATTCCTTCATACTTTTGAGCACGCTTTCTAGAAAAGAGAGATAATCGTATAATCAGACAGATGTTCATTACATTCCCATATGTATGGACATTCTTATGCACATAATCGGACCAATTCCTGGGGATTTAACCAAATGATCAACCGGCCAAAACAGAGAGCACACTAACCACAAAACTTAACACGGTGAAGATAAAGAATCTTACTTTGCTGGATCGAAACCAGCACGAAGAGCAAGCCGGAGCTCATTCCCGCTGACGAGCACAGCACCACAGCCCAAACCCCTCAAATGCTCCAAAACCTTGAGATTATTATTGGCTTTTATCGCGTAACCGATGATCGATCGCAGCCCTTCCAACGCCGCGCTGTACGCCTCGAAGTTCCGGGTGATCTGTGGCTTACTGTACAAGTAAAAGGGTCTCTTCTCCACGCTCTCGATGATGTCATGAACCCTAGCTCCCTCGCAATAGAGGAACCCATCTGAGGATTTCTTGAAACAGTGCTGAAATGACGCGGTCTGATGGCTAGAATCCTTGGTTAGGGTTTTCGCGGGGTTCTGGGAGACGGCGGCTTTGAGGTAGAGGCGTTTCAGGGACTTGAAGTTCGATTTAAGTGGCGAGATGGGGATTCTGGGAAATGGGTTTTGCGTGAATTGGTGGTGAGTTAGGGTTTTGGGAAGAGACGAAGCTTGGGGGAGGAGATGCGTAGCCGCCGCCATTGTTGGAGCTAAAAGAGCTTCAATGTTGTCGTTGACAGCTTCCGAATGGGCAAAACCCTACCCAAAAATGTAAGTAATTCAGAAATACGAATAAACAAATACACATTAAAATCAGAAAAAAAAAATGATTATCTAATCAATACAAATTACGCAGTCAAGCGACGCAAATTCCACGACTTTCGAATTCAAAACACGAATGAAAATGTGGAAAAAATACGTTTCTTCTTAGATAGGGAGATCGGCAGATAGCGAAAGAGAATTGGATCGTTTTTTAGCATTTTGTTTTTTTTAATTCGGTTTATTTATTTTTACATTTGATGTCTTTATAAAATAATGTATACGAGTTTTATATTAAATTTAACTTTTACATTGTTATTGCAGTTTGTGATTTACACTTGTAGAAATATTGTGGTCTTATTTAAATATCTGTTTCTCTTTTAGCAGTCCGAATTTTTTTATAGAAAGCATTTTTACTACCTTGTGTTTTGTGCATATACATTGACGTGTGATGAATGCAAAACAAAGTTATATACAAACTATTTCCACAACCGGTGACCTACTACATTTCCGAGAGAATCGAGAAAATTCATACGAATATATCTCTCCAAGTGATGGTTTAAACCTGAGTTGAAAAAGAGTTTTGCTCTATTTTTTACCGTAAAAAAACCACCTAATCTTGGATTGTATCAATAATTTTTGGCACATATACATTATATTACCACTTTTTCTTTTTTGTTGGCATATTTTCAACCAATTCATAATTCCTGACGGTTTAACAAAAAAAGGTCATAAAAATTTTAAGAGTATCAAAATGGGGTCTATTTCGCGAATCAACTTATATTTTATCAAGATGGGGTCATTAAATTCGAGTACGAAAAAACAGATCGAACGAGTTACATTGTCATGAGCCGAGTTTTGTGACGAACTAGAAAGATATTTTTTAATTATTTTAATATTTTTAAATATATATTTTTTATTATATTTAATATATTTTTTTTATCATAATCTCCATTTTTATTTTATTTTAAAATATTTAATCTATTATAATCTATTATGTGTATGGTTAACAAAATTTAAATTTTATTTTTTTTAGTTAAGTATTCGATTCGTGGACTGTATCGTTTGATTCGTCACCTAAGACGAATTGAGATTAACTACGTATTTTTCGGCCCACAATAAAATGGGTTTGGATTGGATTAAATTAAAAATTATGAAATCGTGATGGTTTGGACTGGTTCGAGTTGGACCAACATGTTTTGCACTTCAAACAAAATTTGATCCAACTCGGTCGGAAAATGAGTTCTGAGAGAGAGGATCTTGGATTGGATTTTATATAACGAGTTTATAAAATTATATTTTTAATAAATTTCATTTATTTTTTTGGTAAATATAAATTTCGTTTATTTCTTTGAAGTTTTTGTTTTTATGTGGTATTTACGTAAAAATAGCATGCATAGATTGTGGAATGGGTCAATTTTTTTTTCTTTCTAGTTTGTTCTTTATTATCTGTCGGACGATTGATCTGATTATAATATAAATATTATTTGGGGTGGGGATTCTATATATAAAAAATATAATGAAAAAAAAAAAACACAAAACTATTCGGTTGAAGCTTTAACCGCAGGGATGGCGGTGGTACCGTAAGTGGGCCTTTGATGTTTTTTTTTAATAATTGAAAATATGACCGATTTTTTTTCCGACTACATCTTTCAGAAAATCGGAAAAGATCGGCGAAATCCACGCTTGGATTTAAATCCAAGGTGAAAACATCGTATTCTCTCACCACTATTCTACATAAGTTTGGATCATTTGATGTTTGTTTGAGATCGCAAACATCAATTGCTTCTTTCGTTTATTTTATAAAAAATTATACACACATGTTCGTGAATCTATATATATTAATAAAGGAGTTTAAAGGATTCTGGTGAAGCCACCTAGGATCCACATCATCATCCATATGGCAGATTTCATAATTTTTATTGGTTAATTAAATAATGCATATGTGAAGGTGGTATCGAGTCCTCACCGTTCTCTCCGACTCACGTCCGTGCAAGAAAACGAAAGACACCGGAGACTTTTAACGAGTTCGGTTACCGAGCAAGCTCGGGCCTACATCTCGGCCGGACGGTGCCGGCGAATCCACTAGAGACGGAAGAACAACACCGGAGAACAGAAGCTCGGCGGATCTCCACAATCCGGAGCCTCACCGAGAAGAACCGAGAACAAAAGAGAAGGGGAAACAGCCAAGGGATGCAAACCTGTACCGGGATCTTACCGATCTACCACCGAGCTTCCTTGACGGACCGCCGAAACGTCCTCCGCCATGTGCTCACCGCGATCTCCTCTCTCCCTCTCATTTTTGCCTCTTTTTCTTCTCTGCTGAAAGTGACGAAGTCACTAGCTTTGGGTAAAAACCCTAATCTTCCAAAACGTAGCGTTTTGGTATTAAAACCAAACCCTCCTTCCCATGTGGAAGGTTCTCTTTTTCCACCAATGGGCCCTTAAGGCCCAACAGCCTCCACCTTGGTGGAGAAAGGGAAACCGAAAAAAAAACGAATCTAGTGGGGTTCGCCGTTTCCAGCACCGATCGACTTTCGTCGATCCCTCGACTTTCGTCGATCCCTCGACTTTCGTCGGAATTTAAAATACAACTTACCTGACTTACCTCACTTACCTGATGTCGGAGTTAGTCGCATGTCGCTGCCTTTGAACTTGATGAAGCTCCCGTCGATGACTCCTCGTGGCCTCGTCGCCTTATCCCGCCACCGAACAGCTCATCCAAACCTGAAACACTCGGTAAACGTGTTAGAACGTTCACCCCGATAAGACTGGAACCGTAGTCCTATCCCGCGTCGCCCGACCAGGGATGCAAACCTGTACCGGGATCTTACCGATCTACCACCGAGCTTCCTTGACGGACCGCCGAAACGTCCTCCGCCATGTGCTCACCGCGATCTCCTCTCTCCCTCTCATTTTTGCCTCTTTTTCTTCTCTGCTGAAAGTGACGAAGTCACTAGCTTTGGGTAAAAACCCTAATCTTCCAAAACGTAGCGTTTTGGTATTAAAACCAAAACCTCCTTCCCATGTGGAAGGTTCTCTTTTTCCACCAATGGGCCCTTAAGGCCCAACAATCTCCACCTTGGTGGAGAAAGGGAAACCGAAAAAAAAACGAAGTCGAGGGATCGACGAAAGTCGAGGGATCGACGAAAGTCGATCGGTGCTGGAAACGGCGAACCCCACTAGATTCGTTTTTTTTTCGGTTTCCCTTTCTCCACCAAGGTCTTTCGTCGGAATTTAAAATACAACTTACCTGACTTACCTCACTTACCTGATGTCGGAGTTAGTCGCATGTCGCTGCCTTTGAACTTGATGAAGCTCCCGTCGATGACTCCTCGTGGCCTCGTCGCCTTATCCCGCCACCGAACAGCTCATCCAAACCTGAAACACTCGGTAAACGTGTTAGAACGTTCACCCCGATAAGACTGGAACCGTAGTCCTATCCACCCGAGGAAGCTCCACCTAAATGTGGAGACCTCACCTCCTGACCTACCACCGAGAACCGAAGCAGCTTCGGTTTACTCCTCCGAGGTCATATGTCCTTCTACCTCGGACTCTCCCTACCTCGTCATCCGGGACCTACAACACCTTCTTGTAGTGTCCC